CGGTATGTACTGACTGTCATATCACTAAATGTGAACTTCTTGTGGTAAATGTGAGACAAATGCAAACGTATTGTAATGTAAACAATGATGTAATTTGTGGTGAACTGCGACTGCGCTGTCAATGAGTCAATGCAATGAATATTCTGTTCAATGAATTCATGAATATTTGTGTTCACATTGAATACTAATGTTTTCAATGTAATTGATATGTGGTTTGGATTATATAATAATTATAGCAATAGATTCTGTAGATTACAATAGTGACCATATAATGAATTTATCATATTATGAGTAATAAATAAATTGATTCCGGTATTTCATGATATCATACATTGCAAAAGGGGTACAGTATTCATAAATATAAACATAAGTAACTTAATTAAAGTTTGTTTCAATGAATTGTCAATGTTTGAAATGATTTGTGAAAAGGTGTTGTAATTTGAGTGAACATAACATGGAAACAGTGGCACATATACTGCACAGACATACCATACAGTTATAGACACGAAACCTTGAATTTGATTCATTTTGACATATCTTTCAATAAAATCTCATAAATTACACACAAATATATATGAATTGGCATTAATTATCTTTGAGTGAGATTTCAAAAATGGCTGACAAATCAGAGTTTGTGTCACTTGAAGACAGTCTCCAGAGGAATGTTAGCTCACGAGAAGAACTCAAAGAAGTTAAACGACTTTTATATGGCAAGGAATTGACGTAAGAATTGACTCATAAAATGATTTATTTTTATAAACCATTGATTGTAACCGAAAGCGAACTCAAGATTCCTTCGGAAGCGTTGGAGATATCAAAGAAAAAGTCGTTTGAGATTAAAGGGTATGTCTTCAGCGCCCAAAGCGAACAAACCCGGAAACCTGCTCAACAGTCTTATCCTCAGTAAGTCTTATTCTAACAAAACGGGTGTTGACGTGGCCATCAGCTCGTCTCCCTACGGTAAGTGTTTGCTCACCGACTATACTAATCACGCCGGCGAGAAACGCCGGTTAATATCATCTGCTTTCAGGAGGCTTTCAGTGAGTGATGTCTTAATGGGTGATAATGTGATGAAATAGTGATGATATGTCTGTATGTATACAGCGATGCCCTTCGCCTTCTGCACCCGCGAGAGGTTGCCGTGGATTGAGTTGGCGGAGAGCGCTGAGACCGGACCCACCACTACATTCTTGCAAGAGGTAGGAGTTCCCCATCACTACCATTGAGTTATATTGAAAATATTTATACTTTGAACGATAGATCGCTAGAATGAATGATATGGTAATAGTGTCACCAATTCTGGAAAGGGATGAAACTCATGGCGATATCCTATGGAATACAGCAGTCGTTATTTCAAACTCGGGTCAAGTATTAGGGAAATCGCGAAAGAATCACATCCCACGTGTTGGAGACTTTAATGAGGTTTTTGAATATANTCAGCCATTTTTGAAATCTCACTCAAAGATAATTAATGCCAATTCATATATATTTGTGTGTAATTTATGAGATTTTATTGAAAGATATGTCAAAATGAATCAAATTCAAGGTTTCGTGTCTATAACTGTATGGTATGTCTGTGCAGTATATGTGCCACTGTTTCCATGTTATGTTCACTCAAATTACAACACCTTTTCACAAATCATTTCAAACATTGACAATTCATTGAAACAAACTTTAATTAAGTTACTTATGTTTATATTTATGAATACTGTACCCCTTTTGCAATGTATGATATCATGAAATACCGGAATCAATTTATTTATTACTCATAATATGATAAATTCATTATATGGTCACTATTGTAATCTACAGAATCTATTGCTATAATTATTATATAATCCAAACCACATATCAATTACATTGAAAACATTAGTATTCAATGTGAACACAAATATTCATGAATTCATTGAACAGAATATTCATTGCATTGACTCATTGACAGCGCAGTCGCAGTTCACCACAAATTACATCATTGTTTACATTACAATACGTTTGCATTTGTCTCACATTTACCACAAGAAGTTCACATTTAGTGATATGACAGTCAGTACATACCGGCTCACCTTTACCCACCATATGACCATATGACCATGCTCATTGCCACTGCCACTGTCGCTGACCAACGCCATCACCAATGAGCACATCATCCCAATCGGTGATCCAATCACTTCTTCGGCGACAGCTATCGGCCACCAACTGGTCGTCCAATGGGGATGTGTTGGCATCAGTTCTCGAGAGTCACCCCTTGGAGTGCAGTCTTATGCACACATTCACCACAACCATCACTCATATGGACATCGACTCGACTGACTATAAATTGTAAGATAACTGAATTATGGGGATGTGTTGGCATCAGTTCTCGAGAGTCACCCCTTGGAGTGCAGTCTTATGCACACATTCACCACAACCATCACTCATATGGACATCGACTCGACTGACTATAAATTGTAAGATAACTGAATCACTTTCTATTGATCCACTCATTGACACATGAAGACTAGTCAAATAATCAACCAATATTGCTGCCTTCACAACTATAGGTACTCTAACAGCTGGTTTTATCGCCAGTTAACTTAGTTAACTAAGTCTTCTTTCACCTCAGTTGACACTTAGCCTGTCAATGGTATGTCATATCATGATAACTATGAAGACAATGATAATTGTTGTCTAAACCGGTAACACAGGTATTGCATGGATTCGGGAATGTTTGCCATAACGGGCACAGAATCGGTGAGTATTATGGACACGAATACCATGAAACGTGTGGACAACTATCGGTTCCCTAACTGTAAACTCTATTGGAGTGACTGGAGTCCAAACCTGACCACTAGTATTGCAGGCAATCATTAGATTACACAACAAATTGATTTCTTTACTGAAAGACAATTGTGTTTAACAGTGGCCTCTTCGGCATCAACTATACGGATAATCGACATCCGAAGAGGCAGTTCTTTACAGAACATAACTTGCAGTTCAATGACCGGAACTGCTAACCACCACATGACTCGTATAGTTTGGTCACCTCTCGATTCTGAGTGTCTTATTGCTGGCGATTCTTCCGCAATAGATGTGTAGATACTATATTCCGCAGACTTATCTAGCCAAGCTCACCAACCTTCACTACTGTACAGAGACCTCGGCTAGTGTACAGACGTCAAGTGCTCTCTGGTCTACAGTCACAACTGCCGAAAGGGTCGCTCCAATAAACTCAATTCATGGCATTTCATGCGCTCTGATCTGATCCGCTCTGACATCAACTTTGAGTGCCCTTTAGTGCGAAGCAAGTCATCCAAACATAACCCCAACACCAGCTCTTATCTCAGATGCCAAGTGTTCGCCACCGATGACTATGTCTTCACTCCCAGTGAACAAAAAGTGATGAGAAATGATATAATGGGCTATAGTTTGACTACTGGTATGAGAGTCCACAGTCTGTGCACATCACGGGAGGGGACGTTCAACACGGCGGGACCCAACTGTGTGACCGGACTCGACAGGGGATCACTCGTACTCTACAGCGGAGGTAATCAACGACTTTGTGTGTGGACTCCCAAAATGGATGTCCACAACGAGAGCAAACCTCTTAATAGCTATTATACTGACCGGTGGAGTGATAGTGAATGACAACACATGAAATGACAATTTAAATATATATTTATATTTTATTTTTATAATTAAATAAAATGAATATTTTTGTAAATATTTAAGTTTCCGATTGACTAGTATTTGGAGGCAAAGTTGGCTCGTGTTGTGGGTTTGTGTTTGGGTTTGGGTTTGGGTTTGGGTTTGTGTTTGATTGCTGTTCACTCATAAGCGCTAATTCTTCTGAATAATAATACGGGGTATTTAAGTAGCATTTAAGCATTTTAGGCAGCGGTAGGTCATCGATGAGATCCCGGCGCACGTGCTTCAGTATTACGAACCTTTGCCACAATACAAGTAATTTATCATTAAATGCTTGTTTCTATAGAAAATCCTATAGACTTATCACTGACCGACACATGTGTTGAAGTGATTGTATTTGTTTGAAGCGCGAGACGGGGTGTAGGAGTTGGACGCGCATCGGACCCATCACTGGTCGCCGGTGCAGGAAAAACAGGAACCGTCCGCTCCTCGAGTGCTGGACAGCGTTCTCTATGAAGTCGACGATTGTATTGCTTTTGAACTTCTGGAGGGAACCGAAACTGAAGTTTCCTACAGATTGAGACAATCGCAGTGAATGATGGTATCAATGAGGGGAATGGTATGTGAGGCAAACCCTGGTCATGTTCGATGCGCACGTGTCGTACTAAACCATTCAACTTAAAGGTTAAGCTGAAGATGTAGTGCTCGTCAGAGCTGTCCCTCACGATGAATGAACCGCACGGCTCCGACTGTTTGGCAAAACTCCACCTAATCATCGATTATATCACTTGTCAGTCATTTATATAATTACTATCTTAATTGAAATCTTAAATCTATTTACTTTTAGTAAAACAAGTTTTGACTTTATTTTCAATTATATCAAATCAATTTAATAAACACATTCTTCCTTAGATTTTGTTTTACTGATATACTGTATGTCTGTATGTCTACACTTCAATATGTTTTCACTTACATCACTCAATACTATGAAGTCAATAGACAGACTGTTTTGGAAAGTAATTTGTCAATAATTTATAAATTCTTGGCTTTCAAAATAAGATGTTTGTTTCAATTTACTCAAAAATATATGCACAGAGAAATCTTATTCATTTTACAGTGTAACCACAATAATATTAGCTAATATAATATATAATAGCTATTTTATTTGTAAACATTAAATATTCATTGTAATATTACTGAAATATTTATTGAACATTAAATTAATATAACTTATTTAGGAACTATTGAACAATTGTCAGCCTTTAAACTAGAAATATTTTTTAATTATTAAAAATGTCATTAACACTAAATTATATAAACTTCAAACTTAGTACTGCATTTGTAAATCAACTCTACAGTAGATATAGAATATTGGCACTTTATTACTAATACAGTACAGTACTAAGTTACAGTGTAGTACTATGTAATTTATTCATATCATGTGTTTGTTATAAAATCTATAAAAACATAAATTCCTTTCCATTCAAAGATGATATAATAATGTTTGTTAAAAGATTAATGAATTTATCAAAAGAATGATACAAAGTAAATGTAGTCATGCATTGATGTGGAGAAATAATGTTTAAAAAGTTCAGATAAACAAAAATTCATTCATTAGAAGAGTTTATGACACATTGAATTTAGTTTTGTTAGAAATATTATTAGTTTGTAATATAAATGCAATGGTTTTTTAGTTTTGTTTTGTTAGCAATAACTTAATTAAAATAAATGAGATTCTTTGATGCTATAAGTTTTATGTATAAGAAAAACTTGAATTTTATTTAAATTAGTCTCAATTTGGAGCAATCAGTTATTAATGATTATTGAAAGCAACTAAAAGCTGACAACAGGTTTGTATAAATGGTGTATGAATAGCATGATATGATGATAGTATTAATAAAGGTATAAACGAGAGATAATATGTTACCTTCACTAAGCCGTCCCCAACCGGTGACAGTGGCGTTTTTGCCCAATAGGTCTATGTGCTCGGGTGGCAAACATATGGGCCCCACGTGGGGCTGGAATTCAATGGGTTCGTCCAATTGGACGAGTGCTAAGTCATTCTCGTAGGTGAAGAAGTTGTAGTGCGGGTGCACAACCTTTTTCTTAGCCCCTCTCTCGATGTGAGGGTACGGCTCCAAAGTGCTGGAGAAGTCATATTCACCGACTCTGATGCGGATTTGTGTTAAGAGTAGACTGTCATAAAAAAACATACTGGCCTTCAGTTTATGGAAATAAGAGACAATAGACTCACTCATCGACACAATGACCGGCCGTTGCGATCCACTGGTTGTTAAGTATAGCTCCGCCACACCTGTGAGTGCTCGAGAAGCCGAAGAACGACGTGCGCCTCACAGACACCTATTCAGGGATGGGATGAGACACAAGTACTGGCAATGAGTATTGAAAGTTGAATCAGTGGTGGTAGTGGTGGGCATACCTGCCAGGGCCAGGCACCGAATGCTGAGTTCTTGCCGCCAACCACTTTAGTCTGTGGCATGAGTTGAGGGACACCGCACTGAACTGTATTCACAAAATGTTTGACTAATTATGAGAAATGGATACTTTATATAATCACATACCTTTGCTCGAAAGGAAAGGCCGTTTAGTATAAGTTTGTGAAACTACTGGTACACTCGTTTGGGATGTCTCGTAGCCTAAAGTGCTTGTTGTCGGCGATGTGATCGAAGGGCTCTTTGTTGTTGTGGTTATTATAGAAGTTATCGGTTGGGAAGTGGTTTGCGGGACCGTTATGTTTATAGGCGTTGAAGTGGTTGTGCTCCGAGTATTATATATTTGCTGATAAATACTGGTTGGTCTGACAGCTATTGGAGGCCTAAACGTGGGTCTTATGTATACATTATTGGTATTGGAAGGGGAAGGGGGTCTATATGTGGAGAATATAGAGAATATTGGAGGTCTGAACGTATGCAACACATTCGGGGGTGTATTCGATTGGATTGGCCACACTTGAGCTGTCAATTGTACATAATGAATAATAGGACAGGTAGTTTGAGGTATTTAGAGACTTACAATGTATAGGACTAGGCGCTGTAGGCCAGGGCTTTGCAATTGAGGACGGTATGAGTGGTGGTGTTTGTGTGCTTTCGTTTGACTCAATAGTATTAGATTCCGTGAAATTAGAAGTAGTCGACGGTTTGGGAGGTTTTGTAAACTGTTTGATTGGTATAGGTTTAGATGTCGTAGTGGTTGGCGGTTTAGTGGTTGTGCTGGTAGTGGTCATATACGTGGTTGGTCTACTTGACCAACTTTGGCCAGTTGTCATCAGTGAGCTGGGAGTGGAGGACTCAACGAAATGATTGGTAAAGATATGTGTGTTTGGAGTGCTATGTGTAGTATATATGGTATGAGTGGAGTGTTGACTGTGTTGGGTGTTGTGGACGATTGTCTGGTCAATTGAATTGAAGGTATCGTTATGTCCACAACAACTGCCGAAGAGGAAGCCGTCCACACAAGTGCCCAAATGCTTGCCCTCAGTCTTGATGCACTCCCATACGAACATACAGGTGCCCTCTTCGCCCAATGCATTGTTGCATACTTTGGGTCTTATTTTAAGCGTATCTCCTGTTGGCATACAAATAAGCATCAGATGTGACACACAAACACTGTTTGATGTCTTAATAGCAGCACAACACCAGTCCTAACAGTTATGCTAACAATAGCTATACAAGTATTGAAAAACAATTACCTGAACAGAAGCACCAAAACAAGTAGAATATTAGGTAGAGCGCCGACCGCCAACCCTGGCGTCTGGCACTTAATCCCATTACGACAGACACAGCTCAAATAATAGTAATAATTTTAGATTATCTGAAGATTTTCCCATTTCATTAGAATTAACTTTGAATTAACTTTTCAAACAAAATACAAGAATAACAGAACTATGGATGAGTTGATGTGTTAGCGGATGACCGACTTTAGCTCTCCCTTATTTGTCCCCTCTTTCGATCCGGTTATGAAGATATTCTCATTCTCTGCAATGTATTAAAAATACTGACTTTTAGACTCTAATAACTTGAAAATCTAATTTAAAAATCACAACATTTTATCAGAAATCAAATTATATGACTAAAAGAGTAAATTGATTCACAGGTATTAAAGAATTTGTTTAAAATATCAAAAATACTTGACACGTCTTACAATGTATGATGGGTTACACGGCTTCACATTCAATGATATCCCAATTACTTGAAACCATTTAATATTATTAATAATACAAATCGAGCTGAAACCACAAAAACTTATTTTTTAACACAAATTTATTTTTCTGACAACACTTAACAATCATTAACCGATTTTTAAAATTAGAAAATCAATTGAATTGAAAACATTTTTCAATAACTAAAGCAAAAAAGATGGATTGGATTATTGCATTGCTTATCATAATCTGAATTAAAGTCTCACTGAATTTCAAAAAGACATTTCAACAGTTATGTATAAATGACCTGATTTTGTGGTGACTCTCCGCCTAAGAGACGACCTACAAATTGCTAACAGGAGGTTCAGGTGCTAATTGTCGTTATTGTAGGGATGAGTCTTGAAACAAGAGGAGTTTTACCACTCCTTAAGTCACTCATGTGTTCGACAGCCAGTGAAACCCAATGCAATATTATGTGATTCCGTGTTCTGTACATTCATATCATTGAATCCCATATTCAGTACATGAAAACACATATTATTGTCATGTTTTTTGGGCACAAAAGCAAATCACTTGACCTTAAGATTTATCACTTTATTCTTTACACGATATATAGGTTTTTGTGTAAAATGTTATTTTATACACCGAATCAACGCTTGAATATGACTTCAACAATAAATCACAGCATTTGTGTCATTACTTTTTCTTTGAATCTTGCGATTGAAATCCTATCCAAAAATGTTATTTCTTTTCGCTCTGATTATCACAAATGAAGATACCTTTATATTTACTGTTTTTATATAATTTTATTAAATTTAATTTTTATACTTAAAAATATATGATAATTATTCATACAATTGAATATAAATAATTTTGATATTTAATTTTCTTTATTGTTATCCGAATAATGACTTATTTTTGGGGAATAAATCTTAAGAAAATGTATTTATGAGAAAAATTAATGCTTTATTTTTAATATTATAAGACTATAAGCACTTCTTTGCAGTTTACATTCACATTAAATAACATAAGATTTTCAATATTTTATTGATTGGGTTAGAGAAAAATCACCAAATTTTCTCATTTTTCCAATATTTCAGATTCATCCGAGTGATTTTGGAGCAATCAATTCGAGGGTTCCTATTTTATAAAATAATTTTTTTATCAACAATTTTTGATATATTCATTAAATATGTAATTAAATTAAATACTATTTCAAGTTGTAATATGAAAAAAACTATAATAGAAATTAAAATACTGTCAATATCTAAGCTAGAAACCAAAGTATTCATATATCATAATTATAATTACAATTAATATATTATACTAATCAATATTAATATTTTGTTATAGTAATGGCAATTTAAATCATTAAAATATTTATAAAATATTTATATAAATTAAAATGTAAATTAAAATATACAAATTGCATAGAAATTATCATAAGATGTAGTATTTAGAGTTATAATAGTGATATTAAAATGATTTGTAAGTAACATACGATCGGATGATTTAAAGATAGAGTTGAATAATAACTGATAATTATATTTACAAACAACTTAACGAATATGAAAAATGTAATTATCAGTTTTTATAATATAATTTCTTACTCTTTAAAAGAAAATATGATTGCGTATGAATAATTATTTTTGTTATATTCAAATGACCTAGGATATTTAAAAACAATATACAAACCATTCTAAGGGTTGTAGGAAAGCCAATGGTTGCATTTTTTCAATATGATAGCTATTATCACATATAAGACTCGCTAAACTTGCTTTTCGGATCTCATTTAGTTGTGCTATTGATTGGAGTTAATAAATAATAATCAATAAATTATAAAACGGGTGAGTTTTGGAAATTATAAAATTCTTATATAAATGAAGCCAAACCTTCATTGAATGAGTGCTTCATATTTGCGTTTTCAAACCAAAACCTATCGCCGACTAAAATACAGTATTATTAATAATATAATTCAAAAGAATAGATTAAATAGTGAGTAATGAGACCTTTATTTCTTCGGGCCTGTTCTGCCAAAATGCACGCAAATATGGGTCCGACCACTGCATCTGGAAGTGGTCTCTCATGGTTGCCAGCAATGAACAAATCAATATCATCGACATGTCTTTAAACAAATTTCATAAACATCTTAATTATGTATTAAATTGAGATAACAGTGACTCAAACCTATAGACCTGTGCCATGATCTGTGCTGACCCGCGACGCATCACTTGATCTAATTCTTTGAATGTGTGGACTCGAGGCAAACCACATACTTGTCTGAAGTCATTATAGCCGGGCAGCCCGTGATCTCGTCCTAACAGTTATAATAATCAAACGCTTCAGGCTTTCAGTTTAAGAGACATTCAAAAGACTCAATTATAAGATAATCATCATCACATCGATAGCCAATTAATTATTAATTTGGCAGCCCGTGATCTCGTCCTAACAGTTATAATAATAAAACGCTTCAGGCTTTCAGTTTAAGAGACATTCAAAAGACTCAATTATAAGATAATCATCATCACATCGATAGCCAATTAATTATTAATTCATTTTCAAACATTATTCTTTGAGTACTTCTATAGCTAAAGTTTAGTATAATTGCATCAAATGTTATCATAGATTAAAGGATTTCCCTTACAGTGCATCTCATTTAATGTCTTCGTGATTATCAGTAAATTTATTTCAGTTTAAATTTGCTACATTTGTAATGAAAATTTATTTTAAAATAATAAAGTTTATCAAATTTTATGTAACTTAATTCATTACAAATTCATTGTAAACGAATAATGATATAATATAGTTTTTAATATACCGTGTCATTTCATTGGGAAATTTGATATAGTTCACTATTATGAAAATGAGCATGGTATAACTGAATAGCTGTATAGTATAGATGACAAACCTCTTTGAATGTTGAGTGCAATTAAATCCATTCCAAAGCGGGAATTGTGTTCTTGGAATAAATGGTTTGTTATCTGAAAATAAATCAAATACAATGCAAACACGAGAGCAATGATTTCAATTCATTACTTACGTCTTCAGTGAAAAACTGATCAAAAGTTTGAGTCGGATTTCCTGTATATCCGTTCAAAAACTCATCGAAAGCTCCCTTTCTATACATAGCCGACGGGTTATTGAAATGTTTTCTCAGTTGAATGGTTTGTGTCACTTGTCCCGCATTATTCAAAAGTCTCAATAAACCCTAGTTAATTAATTTGAAAATTAATTTTAATCAAATTAATCCAAAAATGAGTTCAAACCTGAATGAGTGTATGGAATCTATAGACAGCAGTTGCGAACTCATTAAAGATTCCGGGATTCAGATGATTGTCGTAATCATAGGTATATCCGTTTGGTTTCGTTAACAGATTAAACTCTTTCATAACACTTCGGCCTAATTTGTTGGAGTTTTATATATTCAAAATATGCGTTCAAATCTTAATAGCAACAAAATTCTACACTAATTGTATCATATTATTATTAAACAGTTAAAAGGACATGACTCATGCTACATTTTGTCGGATTCTACATAAATATTATTTATCTAACAATTTGTTACTAAGTTTGTAGGATATTAAACTTAGAAAAAAGATGTCTTACATTAGCCTTTCTTAGAAATGAAGTCATTAATATAATATTACCTATTATTAAAGGCATCCATTCATTGTAAGTAATGGTCTGAATCTCTGCGGCCACTATTCTTCTGGTTTCCTGATATACCGATTCGTCACTCCATTCTTTAAATAATCATTTATATTAGTTTTTATTAATTAAATATTTTAGACAACTTTATGTAATGTATTATATTAGTAGATATATATACAAAACCTGGATTTAGTTCTTGTAAAACACTTGCAATTCTATTGTGTTCTCTGCAATTAAAATGGCATAATAATTAGATGTAACATTCAATGTTTGTAATGAATTTTATAAATATAATTATATTTACCTTAGTAATACATTATGGAGCATAGTTAAACCTGTTTGTTCATTGACTCTCACATCACCTAAAGATTTCAAATTGAAATTTTCAATATTTCATTAATTTAAAAACATTGAGAGAGAGAGAGAGAGAGAGAGCGAGAGAGAGAGAGAGAGAAAGAAAGAGAGAGAGAGAGAGAGAGAGAGATTACGTATTTTGAATTTATAATTTAATTAAAAATATAATAATAAATGTAAAGTTGGGTCATATTGAATATTGAATAAAGTCAGACCTCCAACAAAACATTGATAGCCTCGTTGTCTCTGAAGATTAGAAGGAATACCGCATTCATCTGATTTGTTTTGAGTGTCAAAAGGAAGGAATTCATATCCATTCACTTTATCTACTCTTAGTTTCCCTTTTAATTAAAAAATAGCTTTAGACTCTTATTATTTATAACATATAATAATGCAAACCGTGTTGAAAAGATCGCAAAAATTTAGCCCTGTCTTCTGTAGAGCCATAAACCTACCATTAAATACAAATTATTCAACTAATTGTAAAAATGATTTGTTATATACCATTGACCCATCAATTATATGTGTCAGTGTATTAATTTGTTCCCTGTATCCTATGTAAAATTTGAAGTATTAAGAAAAAGTTATTTATTTATTTTTATGAAGCTATACCTAGGTTGCAGTCATATTTAGGCCCGGCTGCATTTCTGACAAAATTATTGCAGAAATGGTTGTGTTGGCTGTAAAATGGGTCGTCTCGTGGTATGAGAATGGGTTTGCAGGCCGGGTGACGGATTTTAGTGGCCCGACGCGCCTCTTCATGACAACAGTGCAACCCCTCGCCAGTCGATGCTTGTGTTTCATGTTTTAAATATGATATTAGTTTAAGGATTATACAGTAATTACAATAAATCTGTTATAAATATTGTGATACCTCTTGTGGAGGCGGTTAGTGTTAAGTCGTGGTCTATAATCTGAAATTCAAAAAATACAATAAAACTGATATTTGAATAAGATTGTACAGTACAAGCATGATATAACGACATACCTGTCCCCA